GCATAAACGCCAAAAAACCGGGCCATATGCCCACTTTGGCCACGCATTTTATATGGCCAGAAATGACGGGCATTGTGCCCGCAATAATGGCAAATGCCCGCAATCTGGAATAAATGGCCGAACACTAATTGCAATACATTATAGTCACAAATGTTATACACTTTGAGTACTTTTTCCAATACTGTCTCCCATTTGTTTGCATTCAAACTTATGATCACTAAAAGGCACTAAAAGCCACTCAAAGTGTTCAATGTTTTCAAATGCTTTCAATTCATGTTTTCAATTACACTTTGAGTACTTTTTCCAATACTGTCTCCCATTTGTTTGCATTCAAACTTATGATCACTAAAAGGCACTAAAAGCCACTCAAAGTGTTCAATGTTTTCAAATGCTTTCAATTCATGTTTTCAATTGTGGACTAAATTATGGACTAAATTGTGGCAAATATTGATATGAATAGTGATATACTTGTGATATAGTAGTGATATATGAGTGATATATTAGTGATTACTAATCACTGATTAGCGACTAATAGTCTCGAGTAGTAGTGATTGTAGTGATCGTTGCGATGAGAAGTCGAAGCAATTCTGGAGTCCGACTCGACTATTACCAGAGGATAGTCTACCGAACCATTTTGGACCATCAGGTTTGGCACACACTATGCTTATGTGATGATCACTGATGATCACCAATTGATCCGTTGTATGCATTGCTTCAGAATGCAGTGACAGGTCTGTTGCCAACGAGTCATTATCACCGAAACGAGTCGATCGGTTCAGACCACGCGTGGGTTCGGGACAATGTGTACTCAATTCTGGCCGTTTGGGCACTCAGTATGGCCTACAAGAAGAACACCGACTTGGATGAGGACAGGGCTAAGACTTATGAGTTGGAACAGTCGTGCGTCAAACTAATGAGAGGACTATTGATGGCAATGATTAGACAGAAGGACAAACTCGAGGCCTTCAAAGAGACCCAATCGGTGTCGGACTCATTGCACGCCAAATATTCATCGGATACGATGTTGACAGTAGTCGGTGACCACGAGTGGGGACACTTGCAATTGGACGCCACTTCACTATTCCTTCTAATTTTGGCACAAATGACTGCTTCCGGTCTTCAGATTATCTTCAATTTAGATGAAGTGGCGTTCGTTCAGAATCTGGTGTTTTATATCGAGTCCGCGTATTGTATCCCCGATTACGGCATTTGGGAGAGAGGCGACAAAACCAACCATGGGCTGCCTGAGCTCAACGCCAGCTCTATCGGTAATACATGAGGTCAATACAAATGCAGTACTAATGGCACAATACATGTATACCTTTATATATGGCAGGTATGGCCAAAGCGGCTCTCGAAGCGATGAATGAATTGGATCTATTTGGTGGTCGAGGGGGTCCGTCATCAGTGATCCACGTGTTGGCAGATGAGGCCCAGAAATGTGATGCTGTGTTGCAGTCAATGCTTCCCCGAGAGTCGAATTCTAAGGAAGTGGACGCCGCTATCCTTTCCGTCATTGGTTTCCCGGCCTTCGCTCTCGAAGACAAAGAACTTATCAAAACGACTCGAAGTAATATAATTCAAAAACTTCAGGGAAGGTATGGCTGCAAACGCTTCTTAAGGGATGGATTCCGTACGGCTAAAGAAGACCCGACAAGACTTTATTACGAGCCCTCAGAACTGAAAGTGTTTGAGAACATAGAGTGCGAATGGCCTCTCTTTTTCTGCTATCTCATTCTCGACGGACTCTTCAATGGAGACAGAGATATGGTTTGCAATCTATTAAAACTACTAATTATACTATACTTTGATTGATGGTATGATTGATGGTATGATTGATGGCATGATTAGGTGGAAGAATACTCCTCGGCATTGGAAGATCTGTTAGTGAAGACCGATGACGGTCTCAAACTAGTTCCCGAAATGTATGCCATTCCGGGACATCTGGTGGAAGAGGAATACCGCGAGCCTCACAGTCAGGAGAGGTATGCGATTGGCTCGTGTCCCTTCATGTGGGCTCAATCCTTGTATATCGTCGGACGACTTCTTCAGGAAGGCTTTATAGCTCCGGGAGAGCTCGACCCTCTCAACAGACGACTCGGCGCTGAGAAAAAACCTGATGTTGTCGTTCAGGGTTTGTACTCACCTCTGCTCACCGTTACTACTCTTCCATAATTAACACTTGTTTTGTTAAGCAGTTGTCATATTAGCTGAAGACTCGAAAGTTCAGGAGAAACTCATTCAACACGACATTCACATTAAGACCGTTGAAGAAGTGGCGCCCATTGAAGTACAACCGGCGCGAGTACTCAGCCATTTGTACGCTTATTTAGGTTATAACAAAAAGTTAGCCCTTTCTGGCCGTCAGTCACGAGAAGTGGGACTTTTAAGCACAAGTAAATTGTATTCATTGCAGGAGAAGATCTTTGCTTTTACTCCTCAGGTTTGATAGTTTTCTTAACTCATATTTATTGTACGATTCATTGAATGGTCATATCTGACAGTTCGTTGACGAACATCGATATTATATCGCTTCGGACACCAATTTAATGTTGGATACATTTAAGTCGGAAATAGCCTTCTTGAAAGTGAATTGGCGAATGTTAGGCAGACCTACAGTTGTCATTGCCCTCAGCTCTCGTATTATTGGAGGTGAGCCTTATTCGTTATGAACAGTTACCACATTCATTTTCATTTGATTTTATCAACAACTTTATAAACTATTATAATTGCTATCAATCGGTCTGTTTTATAAGTTATAACTCATTAGAATCTATTTGATATATTACTATATTTACTGTATATGATTGCTAGACGACCGAAGAGCTCTTACCGATTCGCGCTATATGAATCACTAATCACTGTATTATCGCTTAGCGTTGATATACTGTATAATATATTGAATTTTGATATAAGCAGAAAACGACAAAATTCCGGTTTCAATGATATCTACAATAAAGAAACTGAAAAGCGGTTATTTGAACGGAACGAGAGTTGTTTTGGGAACACTTGAAGACTTTCTAAGCACTTCTTGTATCACAAGTTTAAGCTTTTTGTCGAACACCGAAGAGGGAGATCCCGAAGGACTCAATGATAATGTCAAAGAGTTCCTCGAAAAAGAGCTTAAAAAGCCTTTTGTACGTAAAATCTCTCGTCAGGTGTCAGCGAAACGCAAGATTAGTATACGTTCTCGAAAGTCGGGAGTTTCTGGAATTATCAAAAGGACACGTTCTATACAAGTGGATCAATACGATCCCGGTTTGTAGACCAGTCATCACTATTCAAATACTTATTATTCTATATGTTTTACCACAAGATTTAACTCAATTGAGATCTACTTATTTGGAAAGTAAGGCGCAGTCGAGTACATCGAAGCCTTCATCAGAGCACTCGTCCTCACAATCGTCTCCACTTCACGAACCAATGCTTGAAAGTACTGACAGTTTAAATACCAGGAATACAATGGGCGTCAACACAATGGATGTTTCAAAGCCTATTGAAAAACGTTTGAAAGGATTGTCTGAATTACACATCAATGAAGACATCAAAGATGACGAGTTGTTGACTATGTATAGGGAGGCGGAGGTGTTGGAAGAACAGGCAGATATTCTGCACTACTTGTTTTTTAATAAGTATGCAAATAGTATGATTAGTGCGATCATTGTATTTGAAACGTGTATTTGGTGTTTGCAGAGGCCTTTCATGGGAAACGGGTTTGGGTGCGGATCGGCCGATGAAAGTGCGAGATCTACTGAAAGAGCTGTACGAGAAGGCATGCAGTGAGAGGAAGTGGGCATTAGTGCGACACTCGGCCGGAATGCTTGGCAAACAAGTTGAAGATTTAGCCAAATCTGTGGCCGATATGTTAGTCCGTCAAAAGCAGATTACAGTTGGAATGCCTCCGCATTACGAACAGGCAATCATAAGGCCATTACCCGCTAAGGAGTTGAGACAAATCATTGATCAAACCCACGGTGGAGACCAAAGCACTGCTATGTTAACGCAGGAACTCCTCATTTATTTAGCAATGTTTATAAGAACAGAACCTCAATTATTTCAAGAGATGCTTCGCTTAAGAGTTGGCCTTATTATACAAGTTATGGCTTCAGAGTTGGCGCGCGCTCTCAAATGCGATGGCGAGGAGGCGTCCGACCATTTGCTTAATTTAAGTCCTTATGAAATGAAAACACTTTTGCATCATATTCTTAGTGGCAAAGAGTTTACTGTGAAAAGTGGTGAGTGGTGTTGAATATGAGCACAATTATGATAATGACTGAAATATGTTGAATATGATGCCCAACAGCTAGAAGTGGTCGCGTCTCTATTATGAACGACCGAATGCTGAGTAAAAAGAGTTTTGTTGATAGCATTTCGCCGATGGGAGAGAACAGTGTGACGAGTGTTGAGGATTACGGCTTTGAAAGCGACCGTCCGGGACAGTGGCTTAGGCGCAGACGACTTGACGGCGCACTCAATCGCGTTCCCATCGGCTTCTATACCAGGGTTTGGTCTGTTCTCGAAAGAGTAAGCCTTACTTTTTAAACATAATTTGGGTTCATTTGATGCAATTATGAAATGAGTTTACTATTAGTGTCAGGGAATAGCAATTGAGGGCCGAATTTTGATGCAACAGTTGACACGAGAGATGACATCTGAAGAACTCAAGTTTGCACTTCAAGCCGAGTCTGTTCTCAATTGTGTGCCTCAACCCGAGTACAGGCAACTGATGGTCGAGGCCTTAATGGTATTGACACTTCTTGTAGAACACGAATGCGTCAAAACATTGGGTGGTATTATAAATATTGAACAATTGGTTCACAGAGCGAATCAGATTTTTCTTGAAGATCAGGTTTGCCATTATTGACTACATTACATGACTACTCTATATCGCTGTATATAATATTTAATTTAAATAAATTATATGTTTTATTTGTTTGAAATGTAATAGCGGTCAGTGAACGGCGACGCCACTCTCTGTTGTGCCTGTAATGCCAATCAACGCATCACATACTGTGGCGGCGCTGCAAACATATGTCAAGTATGTATTTATTTGATTTGTTATTAATTAGTTATAATATTGTCGTGTAATCGGTTTGTGAGCAGCACTTCTATGATAGCGCGCCGTCTGGTAATTACGGGACAATGACTTATCTGATACGAGCCGTCACTTTAACCCTTGACATTAGCCCTAACAATGGAATCGATTGCACAGTTAGTTGAATATTACTCTAATACTGTAGAGTATTGTACAAATGACCATAGATTATTTACAATTTACCATGGCAATTTCCATCATCTCCATTATTTTGATTTCTTGTGTCAATCTCTCAACAAATGATTAGTTATTTTATGTTTTTATGTATTAATTCATAATTTGTATGAATTGTTTTTTGAGTAGTTTTTAATTAAACAGTAATAGTGTTTTCTCTCAATGTGTCAGAAATACATTAACACATCTAATACTGATCTTTACTGTTGTTATACTGTTTTGCTGATAAATTTTATTTTAATGTTAATTGATTTTTAATTGAATTAATTATATTTATGACATTTTAATATATGACTGTTAGGTCTATAGTAGGGTTAGGCGCGGGACCAACCTAGCCGCTAAAAACGCTACATTCTATGGTATCACAATCAGAATAAAGGTATATGTAGTGACATGTAGCGCTTAGGTTGGGTCAGTCGCTTAACCCTAATCTATATTATACTCTTAATGTAATATATTATTAACCAATTCTTTAATTCAGTGCCAAATTATGTCTCTTTTTTGTGAATATATAGTAAAGTATATATAAATATAAAGAGAACGTGTTAATTTTAAAATAAATAATTGATTTTAAATTTTAATCATTTAATACATATGACCAAGGCCATTACCTCTGGTAAGTAATTACAATTTGCATCACATTCTTGATCATAAATAATGAGCGGCATTTCCCAAGTTTTCAAAATATCTTCCTGGAAAATAGTTTTGCGCCGGAAAATTCTTTATATTCCTTAAAATTGGGAATATAAAACAAAAATGTGGTCAAACGATGACCAATCAAT